CTTGTTCTCCTCTCCGGTGGAACCATTGACCAGTTTCGCCAAGGCGCCCAGAAGTTTCCCTGCCATGTTGCTCTTATAAACTCATGGACTTCAGGATCAACTCCGATCCTGCAAATACAATACACATCAGATAATAACATGAAACAAAACCCATTTACTACAAGAGTATACCTAACACTAAGCTACTAAGTTCTTTTTTTTTAAAAAAGAATTTTAAATTTATTCAACCAAAAAAACATCAGATAAGAACATAAAACAAAACCATTTACAACAAATGCAGCCAGAGATAAAGAGATTAAGACAAAAATTATAAAACCAGCAAGTTCATCCGATCAAACTAGCAAGATAATTAAAATTATAAAACCAGCAAGATAATTAAAATTATAAAACCAGAAACTCATCCAATCAGAAGACCAAAGCTACTAAGTTCATTAACTACATTAGTTCACTTACCACAATGCTTCATTGATCTTGTCAGGATGGAGGTGTGGCTGGTTAATTCTTCCTGGCGCACGTAGCAGAGCCTCTTCTGTTCTCACCGCATATGCTGGTGGAGGAGGGGGAGCTGGAGCCGCAGATGAAGAGGAAGAGCCGGCCATTCCAGGACGTCTTGCTGGTTGAGAAGCAGCAGTCGCACCTGGAGGAAATGAAGCGGTTCTCAGTTGGGGTCTCACGTTTCTGACTTCTGCAAACAGAGAAACAGAAGAACAGGTTAAGATTGGAACATTGTTGAATCAAAAACCATAAAGGAAACGAAACCATAAAGGAACCAAAACCAAAACCCTAACTTGAAACTGAAATGAAAACCAAAAATCAAATCAAAACCGTAATAAGAATTGATATCAAACCCCAAAATCGAAAGAGATGGAGAGAAATCGAAACCCTACCTTCGAGATTCAAGTTTGAGGCCCGAGGACGACGACGGTCGTTGGCTGCGTTTGCGGCAGAAGAAGCCATGTCAGAGAGAGATAAACGAGAGGGAGAGAGAGATAAACGAGAGGGAGAGAGGGCTAGAAGAGATGTAGAGATCGCCGTTTGTTGTCTTTTTCAGGGAGAAAAGAGAGAGTTAAGAAAGACACGGGAGAGAGAGAGATTAGGTTTAGAAAATTTTAGAGCCTAAGTGTGGGAAATGGGCCAAAAGTTTAAGAGGGAAATGGGCCAAAAGTTTAAGAGGGAACAAAATTTTGGGCTAAAAAATTTAGAGGGAATAATTTTTTTTACAAATTTTAAAGTTTTAGGGGTTGATGAGGGTTTAGATAGGGTTATGATAGGGTTTAGATTTTTTAAAAATAGACAGGATTTAAATAAGTTTATAGATATGTTTTATAAATAGGATTTACATTTTTTAAAGAAAAAGGGTTTATAGATAGCATTTAGATTTTCTTTTAAAAAATTAAGCTTTAGATAAATTTATATATAGGGTTTAGATTGAGTTTAAAAAAAAGTTTAAATAAGTTTATAGATAGGGTTTTCATAAAAAAAAAATCAACCTTTCAAAAATTATATTACACATTCATATATCTTACAAACATTAAGTACTTATATTATATATTCATATATCTTACAAACATTAAGTCCTTATATTATACATTCATATATCTTACAAACATTAAGTCCTTATATTATACATTCATATATCTTACAAAACATTAAGTACTTATATTATACATATGTCGTAAAAACACTAATTAAGAACTTAAATCAGATCCTGAAGCAGAATCAGTACATGACGGTTCTAACTCATCTTCAGAAACATATTCGTCATTGGGAGGAACAACCGGCATCGATTCATAATCTGAATCATCTTCCACAACATAAGTTTCAAAGCGTAACATTTCACTCCGTGCAACAACTTGGTTATGTGTATCATCTTGTAATGCAGTAAGAGCAACTTCAGAAGTATCTCGAACCCCTCTAGGCACAACATTCGTACACGCCCACCAATCGTTTGCTGATGTGCTTCGAATACGCGGATAAGGGATGAAACATACTTGCTCACAATTACCAGATAAGATAAATGGATCATATTTGTCGTACTGCCACCGCGGAGACACATCGACGATTCCCGATTTATGTTTTCGAATCCCTCGACCAACAATTGTATCAAACCACTTACATTTGAAAACCATGGCTTTAAGCCCAACAGAACCAGAATACTCAACCATAATTATCTCCTCGATCAAGCCGTAATAGTNGTATCAAACCACTTACATTTGAAAACCATGGCTTTAAGCCCAACAGAACCAGAATACTCAACCATAATTATCTCCTCGATCAAGCCGTAATAGTCAGTGTCCGTTGTACCCCGGACTTGGACACCGTAATGTTGGGTTCTTTTATCTTGGCCATGGTTATGTGTGTGAAAGCAGTATCCTCGCGAGAAATAAATCGGCCAGGCTTTATAATTCCGTTTCGGGCCTTGTACGAAATCCAACATCCAAAAATCAAACCGATATATCTTACTCGCTTCGTTAACCTATTAATTCAAATTATCTCAATCATAAATTCACATCGAAAATCAAGTTCTATCAAAACGTACTTACATAGCTTTTCACCCATTCCGCATAGTGGTTGTCTTTCGCTATTTGTAGATCATTACCACATATATTTGGATTGTTCTCCATCATAAACTCCTCAAACATCCTGTTCCGTAGTTGTTATTAAATGATTATAACTGACATTGTTAAAATGTAGCATATTAAAAATATTTAAAATACCTTTCTTACGGCTCAAATGCAGGACAATTGAGCATCAAAAACGTTTGCAACACAGTATAGTCATCATCGGTTAGATGCCTCTGCTCCATTTTTCCACTAACTCGACCTTCGTGGTAAAACATATTTGGAACATCTGGATCATGATATGTAAAACGAATATCTCCAGGTTGCAAAACGGTAGCAGCCACTTCTGGATTTCCAAAGTGATGTGCAGAAGCTCTAGAAATCTCCTCAGTAAGACATTGGGAAATAATGGAACCTGCAATATGTGCCTTATTTCTAACTTTTTTCTTCAGATGATACATGTATCGCTCGAAAGGATACATCCATCTATATTGCACTGGATCACCTAGAGCAGCTTCATCTGGCAAATGCACAACGAGATGCTCCATAACATCAAAAAACGAAGGTGGGAAAATCTTTTCCAAATTACAAAGTTTCACCGCAATGTTTTCTTTTAAAATGGCAACATCTTCTTCCTTTAGTATTTTTGCAGAGATATCCCGAAAGAAAAGTGCGATCTCTACACAAAAAATTATGAGTTA